GAGCTCCTGAACATGCATCGATTTTTCTGATCCTGTAAATTTCAACTTTTTGAGTTAATTCAATTTTTTTTTCAATTTTTCCTAAATCGGAAGAAGGCAAACTTTCAGTATCTAATGGTGAGGAGCTCTCTTTTATCTACTGCTGGTCCTTTAATTGGATTTTTATTAATGAGTTTTCCTAACGTTACTTCTGAATACGCTTTTTGAATTTTTTTTCACTCTTCTTCTTGAGCTCTTGAGTTACCCTGAAACACTATCATGCCGAGGTTTAGCAAGGGTTGAACCTTCTTGGCGGCTCTCAATCAAATTTGAATGTTCTCATAGAATTTTGAAATGTGATTTTTTCGCTTGACTGTGCAGGTCGCACTAAAAGGAATCCAAAACCTAGGGAAAATGTCGCTTACAAAACTACTTGGTCTGGTTCGCGCCCAAGCCATTTTGCACATTCCTTTGTAGGCTTACACATGTCATGATATTCTTAGCTCCATGCACATCCAGGCGCAGTTCGGCTTTTAAGCCGGGTGGCGCCGGGAGGGGGGCATATTTTGCGCTCCCATTAGTCCTTTTGCTAGTTCGTTTCAAGTAGCCTGTAAACTCTTTGGAGCAAAGCTGAGAAGTGGTACAAGTGAGCGACCGTAATGAAGGGTGGGACATCCCACAATCACGGTCGCTCACTTGTGCCACTTCTCTTCACAAGGTGGGTCTATGCAAACTTCGCCAATATCATTTAATGCCCCCAGCAAGTCGAACTGCTCCCATTTTTCATAGATATTAATGACGGAAGGTGAAGACAAGTGGATGTGATTATTGCGCTGTGGTCCTGGCCTCACACCCTGGATCGGCTCCTGTATGATAAACTAAGTCCTGCATTCTTCCAGGATAGCTTGCTTGGTACTAGATTTATGTGAGAGGATAAAAACCCGTACGTGAACCACGGTCAGCCCGTGCAAGTCACTGGCGCTCTGGAACCACTCAAATACCACTTCGATTCCCAATGAAAGTATAGTGCATGGCGCCTCCCAAAACGACCGCTCAGTCTGTCTAATTAAAAAGCTGTGCTCTGCAAGGTTGCTGAAAGAACTGATAAAAAGAGAATCTTTCGGCCTTATGATCATTTTGGCATACGCCACGCATCGGACTTCCATTTCGGGATACGCCACGCATCGGACTTCCAGTTGAGAACTGAGATCAGGAATTCCAGCGCACAGTTGTCATCTACAGTGATCTCGGGTCCGAGTTATGGTCCGGTGCATTTGGTTTCCCCTCCCTTAGAGGACTGGCGGGAATTGCACAATTTTATAGGGATATAAAGCTTGGCTCTATAGAGCCGAATATGCTTTGGCGGCTGTCCAAGGTGCTTTATGACCCCTCAGCTGCCAATTAATTTTTGATAGTCTAGTAGAATAGTGTTTGTCTGGGTGAAAAGCTCACTCACATTTCAAAGTGTTTACCTTAGTTCAACAGGAGTCAATAGGTCTTGGTGCCATGTTTACGTTCGTTGGCATTTTCACGTCCACGTTGACCCATTGATGCGTAAATGGAATTGGTCTGTAAGGCTAGGGTTACATGGCGCGCCTGTGTGTCATCTGATAGTCATAACGATTACGTTGGTCCGTTCGACGTCGTCGGACTCTCAACAGAACTCGCCCTCCAACCCTCTGTGTCACCTTTGATTCCACCTTTATTTGCCATCGGCCAGATCAATACAGGCGCGCAATTATACAATTGACATACATATTCATTCACACGGTCTGATATGAGCGGTTTGGGTCACGTAGCCCTAGCTCTGGCCTGTACCCTTCAGATCTTCCACCTCTTCATTTCTCTTCTATTTTCATAGTTTTCTTCAGAAGTTGTTAAAAAAACCATCTCTGCTTGTCACCATTGCTTACCGTATCTCAACTTGAAGCTTTCATAAACTCTAGAAAAACTATTCGCTTAAGTTTTCCCAAGTGAATTTCCTTTTTTGTTTTTCTATCGTTACAAAGCAGTTCCCGTTGGGGGTCCTTTGTGTAGATGCTAGTATTTTTGCATGAAATCGCCTGAAGACCAGTTTTGGGAGGCATTGTTCACAGCCTACGATTCACATCAATGATTCTTACTTTTTTTGAAGTCTAGCATTGTTCTCAATGTGAAACCGCAATTAGAGTCATACCGAGTTCACTGGAATCATTTCATTTCATCTACAGTATTCCAACTACGGTATGTGACAAGACAATCGTATTGGCTGGGCGGTGGGCGTGGCGAGCGACGTCGCGCGCTTGCGAGACGAGTTTCTTTGCCTGGCTGTTAAATTTGTATGTTAAAAGGACGGAAAAGATCTATATCACTTGGCATGGCGTCGAGTTCACTTGAGTTTCGCTGCTCCTGGGGCACATCAAAAATTTGCCGCGCATTATCAATCGATACGCCGCGCGACACGACAGTTACGATTGTCTTGTCCGCCTCCCCTCCAACGAAAACATGATGAGAAACAGAAAACTTGCAAAATGTATTCCTTACTGAGTGATAATGATTTTAGTATCGCCTGTTGGTGAAACGTGTCCTTCGCGTGGAGCGTCGACGTCTGGTGTCGCTGGTACAGGAATGCCGGCTCCAGATGATCGTGGCCGATCGTCGGCCCACTATAAATTACATGGTCGTGGAGGTGCACAAAGAACCCTATCACCAGCTCATCCACATGCAGCGGTGAGTTTTATTCAGGCTCAAGTGCCGTTCACGTTACGGGTTCTTGCGCTAGTCTGATCGACTCCAAAAGGATGATATCATTTTTCACATTAAAATAGTAACCCTGCGTGGAATACCGCCCACGTGCCCGTCACTTACGGGACGCTGCAGCGCGAACTTCACGCTTGCTATACTCCTATGGCTTTCTGTTTTTATGTCCTTATAGGACAGCTTTCTGGAAAATAATTTATCCATTTTCGTTAATTGCCACAGAACCAAGGGATTATTCCAAAGTTAGCCCAAATGTGCGTCGCTGGTTTTCATTATAATTCTTTTGTTAATGTGTAGCGTGTTTTACGGGCCTATGTGGTTCCACCTGCAAATTTATGTGGGGAACATTCTAGCCTCTTTTCACTGTGCTATGAAGATAATAATTCGTGATTTTTGAGAATAATTCCTTTTTCCTAAGTACGTCCGAATAGATACGTTCAGTCAAACGCTGAAGCTGTAGTTTTCACGTCCTCTGATCATTCTCTTTTTATCCTTCTTGACCGTGCATTTCTGCCTGTCTTTGGGTGGTGTTGGCCACTTCAGCGCTCTCTTGGGACGCCATAGTAAGGATATCCTAAGGCCTAAGCCTCTGCCACGGCCTAACGTTCCTCACTTTCAGTCTCAAGTGTTTAGCCTAACCATAAGTTCATCTACCTCTAATTGTATATTCCTATATCCCCTATTTCACCGAATTATGTCGGCTAGATGGAGAAACGTCGTACACTAAATTGATGAAAATTGGTAATCAAAATCGTAACCCAGAATCCCCCCCCCCATTGCTCGTCAGTGTGCAGATCTCTCTTAGCAATGCAGCTTGGCCCCCATTAATGAATCCTTAACGCACGGCGTGTTGCGTGGTTATAATGCTTCTGCTTTGAGAATCCCCATGAGATGAACGCCCACATTTTGTCCTTGCTGAACCCTTCGTCCACGCATACTCAATAGGCCCCGTTCGGAAATGAGAATGATAATTAGTCAGACAATTGCACTGGGTGGTTTAGAATACTAAACCACGGTAATAGGATTAGTCTCTCTGAGTGAAGGATTAGCGTTCTGCCCTTTGAAGAAGATTTACTCGTACAAAACCCTACGAATGGTAAGTAAACCCCTCCGAGCGAAAGATATCCCAGTCGAAGTATACTCTCAATTAAGAGTAAAGGTTAGCTATACCTAACCATTGAATGGGGTAACTAACTAGCTAACCTAACTGCAGACCTCTTGCAGCGAGCTCGAACTTTGCAGCGGAAAGAGCGGCTCTAGAAAGAAAGGAAGGAGAGAAAGGATCGAATTTTGCCAAGGCTGAGCTTCTTAGAGTACAGGTAGACTTCAAGATGGAGCCCCTGGTAGCCGAAGGAAAGTTGTCCACGGAACTGGCTGGTCCTATAA